AAGCACAAAGCGCGCGCACACACAGGCGACTTCAGGTGTTTAAAAACATCGGAAACTGCTATCTGGCATAAAACTACTGAAAGCACTTAGGGAATAACTCTTACCGTGAATAATGGAATCCGGTAATGGAAACTTTTGGTGCATTGCAGGGGAACTGGACGCATCGTCAAAACGATAGGTAATAATATCTCCTCTAGAGGTAAAAGAAAAAAGTAAACTGTCTGGTTTGCGCGATTAAGGAGCTTAAATAGTTGCATTATCAAGACATGGTGAAAAACAGGGTCGCGACCATAAGATTTGGGAGATGATAGAGTAAGAAGGGAACGGTAGGTGGTGAGGTTCCAGAAACAAATGAAGGGGCACGTCGAAAGATTATTCGATGACATTTATAACGCGAACGGTTTTATTGAAAAGAGTTGCGTTTTTTTTTCAAGTGAAAAGCGCTGTCTTGGTACTCGATTACCTTCGCGTGATTTTTGTTCGTGTCTGTTCTTAAACAAGTTTGCACTCATATACCCAGACGGAATACTATGCTAAATCGGACGTTAAAACGCATCTTGCACCGATTCGATCGGTAATTAAGAAAACTAATAAGGCCTTTCCCCTCAAAAATAAAACGCTGTTGTGCTACACAGTGATGCGCTCAAAATTCCTCAATCCGACTTGAAGTCTTAGAACAGAATTGAGTAGTGGAGCACAAAATTAACTCAAGAATATTCCCGTATGAAAAAAAAAAACAAATGTAATTTAGCTATTCAGATGCAACATCGTTCAGTTTGAACCAAAGTTCCCAGACGCACGTTTGACAACCGACAGTTATAAAATCAAACTAGGCGGAATCGTCAACAAGGTCTCCTGAGTCATGTCTCTGGATGTTTTTGTGATTAATGAAATATCCTACTTGTGATCTTAGTAGTGATGGCATTGGCTATCTTCAAATAGATAAAAACTTCAATTTCGCAAGGGGAAATGGCACGGCACGCCGACTTTCTTTGTTTCCAAAAGCCACACATGCTGACATCTTCAGTGGTCCGTTTTTACAGCCGAAAATTGATGTGTTCTTCCCGTAAAAAATGAATACACAATCGAGGCAGGTAATAACTGATTGATGAGAATACATTGATGGGGCACTGATCTACTGCGACTGCAGACCACTGTTCTAGTGAAACAGTTGAGCACTACCTGAGCAGTTTGCGTGGTTCGGAGTGTAAGAGTACCCAGTAAGGGAATACGCTGCACAGGTGCAGTAGGCATAACAATTGGCCTCCTACAGGTCGCGGCCGCTGCACAGCTAAAACGTTGTACTTTCTACCTAGCCAGTTCCAGAAAAGGTACTTTATCCATGCCAACTATGTTTCTAAATGATTCTGTCAGTCAAAAGGCGTACACATTTGAACGACGCCCAGCATAACCTTCTATTCGAGGACAATTGTGTTATAATATTATGCTAAGATTGCGTACTCGTGCAGGTTTTCCTATGAGATGAGAGCAATAGCAACTCGAGCGTTTTCCCAGGCAAAACTCGCCGCATTTGAAAATTGTTTTTTTTTTAATTTCGCACAAATCAGACGAAGCACGATAGGAACAAGCAGGTTATTTCATAGCAATCATATCTCATGAACACCTGCCACCCAATTTGCACATATTGCTAGCATATTCGTTAAAAATACTATGGCGTGGGATGCGGTTTACGCAAACGTATGCTAAAACGCTCGTATTTGTGAGGCTTGCCAATTGGACGGTTCCGGTGTTCAAGTTTGACTTGATTCAAAACTTCTTAGCTAACGAAAGTATAATACTGGACGTTTTACAGGCAAAGAGTTGATGTATGGTATTTATAGCACTAACCATAAGCGTGCGAACTTTGGGCATATAAACGATTGCTGACCCTCTTCCCTCAGCTGCTTCATCAAGAAGT